TATTAACTTTACTTTCTCCATAGGGAGTTTTAAATGATGAACCTATAAGACCGCTAGTGAAAGTCATTTATATAGCGCTTTCATTTGTACTACTGTACACCAAAGCGCTTCACAATCATATCAGGGGATATCTCCTCAACCACCAGTGTGCAGCTTCCACTTAAATGTAACTTGACACCCTTGCCTCATTTAGTATACGTGATTCTATGAATGTGCAAATGAGCCCTGCCTCCATTCACAGGAGCTCAGAGATCCACTCGTTGACGATCACACATTGGCCTGATTGGTTACATGGTAGTTTGTGATGTCAAACACTTGCGATTTCAAACCGTGTTTGAGACTGTCTTTGGTTCACTGCAGTTTTAAGGAGAAAATACTCAATGGTGTTGAGTTATGAATTTGCACATGGTTTGTCTTAAAGCATATTTAAAAACCCCACAGAGACATTTAAACCACATTAAAAGCTTGATTTTTCACCGCAGAGGGGAAACAACTGATTGTCATTACAACTTGATGTTTGGACGTTAAAGTGGGGAAGTAGCTTGAATGCAAGCCCTGTTCCCTGGTGTCACTGGTTGGCATTGTACAGCTCATAGACTTGAGCTTGCTGTGAGTGACACTTTCAAAGAAATTGGAGCAACTGATCATTTCAAAATCCTCATGGATAAACTTTATTTGCTCTACCACACATCCAGCAAAAATAAAATGGAACTGAAAGAGTGTGTAACGAAGGGCACATTTGAAGTGGCTTTTGAATCAGGGTAGCCTTTGTCGCGCCCTGATGACGCAATCGGCCTTTGAATGCAGCCTCCGAAGGCTGCAGCTTTGAATTGGGACACACCTACAGTCAACAATGTTCAAAAGGGACCATCAAAATAAAGTGTTACCCATCTTGTGATTTCGGGGCATGCAAGTTTCCAAACACGATGCATGATGGGATACACTTAGCCTTGATTACCTCCAAAGCGGTATTCGAGATGGTGTGGGTTTAGTGGACATTAAGGGCACTGAGCTTTGGTATTTTTAAGACATGGGGCTGTCTTCCGCACGCACTTCCTGTCAAACAGACGTGTGGTCAAGTGGCCAAGACATCAAGTGTGGATTTGTGCACAGGCACTTTGTCTCTTATCTGACACATTGAGGGGGTATTTACATTACACAATTTTCAAATAAAAACTTATGCATGGTTCATTTACATGACAACAGTGTTTTGGAGGCCTAAAAAAAGCTAACTTTTGAAAAATGAATTTTGAAGTGCAAGTTTTTGAAAAGTATATCATTACCGTGTATACCGTGTACACAACAAAAACGTGAATTTGTGCAAAAGTACATTATGCGCATGCATATTACATGTTCAGTCTATAGAGTGTTGGAGGACCAAGACCAAGTCACTGCTGGTTCCTTCTGGATTTTCCTATGATACTTTGACGTTCTGTTCTACAACATACACACCAAATGGGTTCTCTAATTAAAAATATACAATTTTCTAAAATGAACATGCTGCATCAATTTGCGCTATAGGTGTGTAGAACAAAATTGTCACATTGAAAAGCCCCATAGGAAATCTTCAAATGAACCAGCAGCAAATTAGTCTGTACAAGTCAACGAGTTGAATAAGCAACCAAGTATCAAAATATGCAGAGACAAGAGAAATATTAAAAGACTGACTACATTACAACACCCACAGTGCTTAATGGGACAAGGTGTCCCCGGCAGAGTTCTTTTGGAAAGATTTGTTTGCCAATTTAAGAGCATTTAATTTCAGATAAGACGTTAAAACGAGGTTCTGACTCTTTGTGGTCATTAAAAATCCCATGTCACTTCTGGTAAAGAGTAGGGGTGTAACCCCAGTGTCCTGGACAAATCCCCTCCATTAGCCCTTGCCATTCACGGCCTCCTAATAATCCCCATGCATTGAATTGGCTCCATAACTCCTCCACCTATAGCTGGTGTGTGGTGAGCGCACTGGTACCATTGTACTGTGGCTGCTGTCGCATCATCCAAGTGGATGCTGCACACTGGTGGTGGTTGAGGAGATATACCCTGAAATGATTGTGAAGCGCTTTGGGTGTACAGTATACAACTGAAAGCACTATATAAATGCCTCAGTGGAATTCTTCTGTTAAACAAATTGTAACAAACTAATTGCTTCAATACCATAACCTTGAGCTTTCACTAGCGGTCTTTAAAGGGGTCATATAATGATACATGCACTTTTACAAGTTGATTATACTGAAATGTGTGTTGGCAGTGCCTGTACACAACCATCATAAAATGATAAAAATATATGTTTATTCTTAAGTTTTCCCGTCTCAAATCAAGCCATTCGACCGTGTGACGTCACACGGTCGGATGCCCCTCCCACGATTGTTGATTGACAGCAGCGTTTCAACAGACCCGTCCTCGCTCGTGAACGATTTGTCAATCATATTCCACGCGGACTGTCTATGAGCAGAATGGCGTCTAAGCGATTGTGGTGTTCTGTTCTTGGGTGCAATAAGGAACACGGCAGTCATTTTAATGTTCCTAAATCCGAACCGCAGAAGACACAGTGGCTGAGTTGTTTACGAAGGGAATATTCCCCACGAGCAACGTCAATGCTTTCATGTTTGCGCGAATCATTTCTCACCAGACTGCTTTATAAACGAGGATCAGTATAAAGCTGGTTTTGCTATGAAGCAGCTCCTGGATAAAGGATCAGTACCAACTATTCGTGTTCCTGCTGAACCTCCAGAAGAACTGAAGTGAGTAACGTTTTATTAACCTTTATATTAATCTTTGCACGCTTCACGATGAGCCTAAGGTTTACACTCAGGGTACATTAAGGTTACATTACGACGTTCTCAATATAATTCATTATCCCACGTTTATTATGAACAAGGCGTTATGGTTATTGTGTTACAAACGGTGTACGCACAGAACAGAGGGGCGGAGTCAGCAGAGCTCATCATCATTTAAAAGCATATGCACTGAAACGGCATGCTGAAAACAGCTGTTTTTGACCAGGTAAAATAAGTGTTCTTACAATACTAATTAGAATTTTTAATTAAAGTATATTACAAACTTAATTTAGACTAGGGATGGGAATTGATAAGAATTTAACGATTCCATTATCGATATTGCTTATCGATTCGATTCCTTATCGATTCTCTTATCGATTCTCATTGGGTGAGGGAATAAGTACAAATTTGTTTGTTTGTATTAACTTATTGAACTTATAACTTATTTGTTTGTTAATTATTAACTCGCTGACACAGCACAGAGTATTAGGGGTGTGAACCTACACTGGTCTCACGGTTCGGTTCGATTACGATTATGTCATCGATTCAGTTCAATTAAATATCGATGCATTACATGCACTGCATCCTCAATTTTACTTCAAAAGTGATGTGTGCGTACGTGCGCTTGTTCACCTGTTCGTGAAGTCGCAGTGACAGAAACAGTGACATTCCAGTTTAGGTTTCATGGGACTAATGTCTGTTCATGCTGTGTGGCCAAATGTTTCTGCATATTGGAGGTCCCCCCCTTTGACGAAATGGAAATTTTACAGGTGTTGCAGCAAGTGACCATATTGTTATGAGGCGCCGTCATACTCTCATTGAGTATGTGCGCGAGTTTGAGTGTGTGTGTGTGCTCGCGTCTCATGAGTATGTGCGTGGAGAGTTTGTGTGTGCGCGCGTTTTTCATATAAGTACCGGTATGTGCGTGGAGAGTTTGTGTGCACGCGTCTCATTTGAGTTTGTGTGTGCACGCACGTCTCATATAAGTATGTGCGTGGACAGTTTGTGTGCGCGCGCGCGAGTCTCATATGAGTATGTGCGTGGAGAGTTTGTGTGTGTGTGCGCGTCTCAGACGAGTATGTGCCTGGACCTGGAGAGTTTCGCGTATCTCGTGTGTGTAGAGTTTGCGTGTATGCGCGAGCGACTTTAGGTGTGTCGTTGTGCATTTCATATGTATTTGTTTGAGCATTCAGCAGTATACATACATGTTTGACTACTTAGTATACGTATGCAAGTGTTTCATATTATGTGTGCGTGAATGAAGTTTGATTTAAGCCCTAGACGGCACCTCATTATCGTGTGATATATATCCAAACGAGCGCTTCTGCCTCGATGCCATGTTTGCTGCGTTCTGAACCAAAATATGTATGACGCGTGTGTGACACATTTGCAACGAGCGGAACCGATAAGTGGAATCGTTAAGCAGGCATGTTAACGGTTCAAAGGAATTCGTTCACTGGGAACCAGTTCTGAAGAACCGGTTCTCGATTCCCATCCCTAATTTAGACCCTAAAGAATCATATTAGCTTGTACAAAAATGGCATTATATGACCCCTTTAAAAGGTTCATTATCATTCCCTATGGAGAAAAGAGAAGTTAATAACTTCGGCAACCCATTGGTTGCGTGCTATATGGGACTTGAAAAGTACAGGACGTCAATCAGTTTTACCACATTGGCAGAATGAGAAACTGTCAAAGCCAAAAGTAGTTAAACCAGACATGCAGCAAAATGACAAGTCAGGTACGACCAAGGATTGATTTGTCAGTTTTATTGAGAACCTCTCTTTTGCCCTTGAACCATTACAGGACCAAGTGAGGCCTTGCCTTCCCACTGAATGCCTAAAGAGAAGAAAAAAGCCAAGTTAGAGCACTTGAATCAAAAGCAACCTTAGAAAGAGCAAACGCTACCAACCTCCAAAGGGAGAAGCAGCAAATACACCATCAGGACCACATGTTGAGTCACAGCAACCACAAACTTGGTCGTTTCCATCAGCAGCAAACCACCTGCAACAAAACAAAGATGTAGAACCTTCACCATGAGAAAAGTCTCCCCCCTCCCCCCCAAAAAAAACCTCACGTACCCATTGGCAAAGGAACAGGATTTGCGCTGAGCATCACCAGGTGCAGAAGCAAAAGTTGCCTTCAGAATACATGTTATGTAGATCTGGAAGGGATGACAGACAAGTCACAAAACCAAAGCAGATGGGAGGAAAAGAGAAGTTAACTCATGATATTCATAGTACATACAGAAGGACTGTTGCCCTCCTGGAACATAAACGCTTCCAGCTGGAACTGGATCTTGTCAACCTGGGACCGAGGCATGAAGCGGGAGCTGGAAGCTGTAGTTTTGGCATCCACAAAGCACCTGACGACAAAACCATTACAAAGAGCAACTCATGAAAGTCAACTGTAGAGCATCAAGCAACTAGACCTTACCCATGACTGACAATGTGGTTACAAAAGGCAACTTTAACGGTCTTACCGCATCAAGGTCCATGATCTTACCCGTGATTCTCAATGAAGGAATATCTCGGAAGAGAGTTCACATCAGGTGCTTGAGTGGCCACACAGCTGTCCACAAACACACGCAGAGGCACATGATTGTACTGCTTCACAGATGCCTCGATGTTAATAACACCACCCAGGAAATAGGAGTATGAAGGCCTCTGATAGGACCAATCATCTACACAAAAAACATTTTAGGCACAGCCACAATAGCAAGGGTTAAGGTTTATTTTATTGAAAGAAAACCTGTACCAACCCATCATGATCTTCAGGGAGAACAGCAAGACTTCTTCACCAGCCTCTGTTGAGGCATAAGGGACCCATGTTGGCCTCAAGGCATCACTGCTTACATTTTGGATCCTGCAGTTCATGAAAGTACCCATTAAATGGTATCCCAGTTGCACGAGAAAGTGCAGAAAGTCACAGAGATACCGTACCTTTGATAATGGCATTTAACACCAACAATTGCCCCATCGGCCCGGGTAATCGGAGTACCTGCAAGCGCCTCAGGGGTGTAGGTAAGAGAGAAGGTGTAGACAAGCTCATCCTCATTCATCTGTAAAAAGATTGTGGTTACCAAGAGGGTCATGCCAAAGACTTTACATACACCAAGACCAAGAGAAGGTGCACGGTGCAATATGGTGGAATTCCTAAAGAGCAAATCACCAATTAGTAAATTCTTCTCATCACCACAGCTGCCCTCAGAGGTTCAGGTGTTGCCAGAGATAGTCAATGTTTTGGAGACATGCACTAAGGATTGAACATTTTGCTGTTCCAGGGTAAAAACTAGCTTTAACACTATGAAGGCCCAAGATTTAGTGTTCTTGTTTCTTAAGCTCATTTCATACCATTTATGGGATAGTTTACATCAGATGTTGGTTTGAAGGGTTATTTAAAGGCAATTAGCTTGAAAATTCAGGACTTACCCATTCAAATAGATAAAAATTGGTCTTAGCTGCCCTGGCATTGTAAAATCAAGTGAATTGACTTTCCTTGAAAAGGTCCTCTGCCACAACAAATAACCCATTAAGATGTAGCTGTTCTTACCATCAGCACGCTGTTGCAGTCCTGTAATTCATACTCCAAGATGAGCACTCTTGACCCAGGATCCTGACCAACAACAGGACATCCACCTAAAGACAGACCAGTTGGCTGGATCAACTGACCATTGCTGAAAAAGTCCTGCTGGACCTCTACGAGAACCCGGTTCTCGCCACATTGAACCGCTACGCTACTGGGAGTCACGGGTTGCCTCAACTGGAAGTCCACCGCCAACTCGCTCTGCACCTCTGGAACGATGGGATACCTCCAATCCAAAGGCTTCACTGGACCCTGCAACAGCTGCTTCTCCTGAAGGCCAAAAGGCTCCTGTGCAAGGCTTTTGGAGTCAGGACCCAAAGGACTCTGAAACTGAGAAGCCACTTGCAAAGGGTTCCAGAGCCCTAGAGGAGAAAGGGCAGGACTTCTGGAAGTTGGATCTGATTTTGGCCCCATGCTTCTTGGACTATGACTGTACCTCAAACTTCCCAAGACATTAGGCAGATCAAATGCACTGATCACAACCACCACTAAGACAACTTTCAGGAACCCCATTCTAACAAATTTTGACACAAACACCAGCACTTGGCTTTGCCAATTTGTACAGCTTTGAGTTAAGTTGGCTCCACCCCTTTTACCTTAATTGATTATCCTTGATTCTCCTCTGGACCTGTAGAGTGGCACAGGAAGACATCTATATAGGATACAAGGCAAAGTGGGAAAAGACACGGGCTGCGTTCCAAACCGCATACTTCCCTACTATATAGTATGGGAAAAAGAGTAGGTGAGCGAAAAGTATGTACGAATCATAAAAGAGTAGGCGAGAATTACCTGGGTGACGTACTAATTATCGCGAGATTCGGACGTATGTATACCTAAAGTGCGTTCGAATATGCCTACTTTCCTACTATATAGTAGGCGAAAACAGTACGTGAAAGAAGCAGTACGTTCGAAACATCAGTATTCATAAAAGAGTAGGCGAGAAGTTCCCGGATGGCTTACTTCTTCCGCCCAGATTTTTGAGTGCTATGCGATGGGTACTCTTCTATCCCAGGAGGCCATGCGAGAGCATACGTCATTATCAAACATCACGGAGATCAGCGACGCGGGGGTTTTCAAATGTGAGTAAACACGGTCCCTTGTGTTTAAATCGTATGTGTTAAACTACCATAGAGTAAACGTTTTAACTGTTTAAGGTGTAAAGGAGTTAGACAGTATAGTATAGTTGTGATTTTGCTGTAAAAACATGTTTTATTATGTATAGCTAGCTAACAGGGGAGCTCCAGTAAGCACACGTAACGTTACGTCTCTAAAGTGGATTTACCTAACCATACATCTTAAACACGCTTATTTAAAATGTCTATTTACATCTGAAAGGAAAATATTGCATAAATATTGCAGATGAGCACATCACAACATGAAAAACACATCTGAGTGATGTAACGTCGTTATTGTCATGATCCGGCCTTCTTGTCCTTGATTTCCTCTGGGGTGTATTCCAGAAAGCAGGTTATGTGACATACCCGGGTATGTTTAAGAGTAAGTAAGCGGATAACCTCAACTTTTGGTTCCAAAAACGGAGGTAACTTTCAGGGTATGTTAGTAGTCATAGCAACTCACTCTCTGAACTTAACCTGCTCCGGAGCAGGTTATGTTCCAGGGTTAGTTTGTTTCAGAGAGGTGACAGAGCATGGCGTCCCCTGACCATTTTAGTTACATATAGCACTACTTAATCTAACCCTACTTTATACAGTCACAATAATTTTAAATGTTTCTAATTATATAACTTTCAATTTCAGGGTTCCCAAATGTGATTGGGTGCATTGATGGAACCCACATTCACATTAAAGCTCCTTCCATCAATGAAGGAGACTATGTAAATAGGAAGTCAATGCATAGCATCAATGTGCAGGTGACAATAGATTTTTTGGATGCGAAATGTTTGGGTGTTTAAACCATTAAATCACCCTCATCACTGGTCCCCACTAACTAGGTAATATGTGGCCAAGAGGAACCCCCAGTGAACCCAGTAGACCAAAGAGATGGCAGGGTGGTACAAGACATGATTTGCCAAAATCACTTTAATTAAAACCAGTTAACAGTCAAGTGTTGTTCATTGTTTCTTTATTTCCTGTAACAAAAGACATTTGTATTTATTGCTTTAGATTTCATTAAACAACAAATGACAGACTAATGTTTACATACTGTTTCCCACCTTAAGCTAGTGCTCCAGCAATTCAATTTCAAGTCTGGCCTTTTTTAGGTTAAGCCTTTTCTCCTCCATTTGAAGCTGTATAAGGTCCATCTCCATGTCACTTTTTCTGATTTGCTTTTAAAGGTGGACCTTATACAGCTTTTTGGCAGGCAACTAGAAAGACTGAAAAAGTCTGTAATACAAACACAGACCAAATATTTAAATGAGGAAGGAGAACTGCATAACATTTCTTACACTGCTAAGATTCTGTGTGGAGGTAGATGGACCCTCATCTGTATTAACATCTCCTGCCATATTCTGTAAAATGACAATGACAATTTATTTATTCTCTTGTGTAAAAAAGGGGGAATGCATTCTATGCATCATATGGGCCTCCCCACATTTTCTGTTTCTGTCACAGCAGAAGTGGTCTCTTCATCATCATCCTACAGTGAAAATAAGGAAGGATGCTTGGTCTAGCAAACAGAAACCTAAAGACAATAATCACTTACAACTGTGACAGAGTGTGGTGTTGCAGGAGGATCCAATAATACAATGTGGCCATCAGCAACGGCAAGATAATTAAACCATGATAATCATGCATATTCAATTCTCAATGTATATTCTTAAGCAAATACAACTAATAAAGAAGGACATTAGGAGCATCTAAGTACTAGTAATAAGATTACAGTATACAGCATATGCAGTCAAAGCAGCGTGCACACTGCACAAGTGAATCAATGACTGTAAAATGAATTCAAAATGCCTTTTTAAAATGGTGACAGTGTTGATGATTTTATTTATTAAAACACTGACAAAAACAGTGTAAACATCAATAAATCATAAGTATTAATATGGTACACCTACATTTTACTAAGCCACTTGTCTTGGTAGCTGAGTCTGACGAACTCCCCCCTGGAATCCCATCGACCACAGGTGGCCCTTTATTAAGGGACAGTGCCAGCTCCTCAGCTCCCTTCTTTCTATTGGCTACATAGAAAACTAAATTACATTTAATACTAAATTAGTATTAAATGTCAGTAACAAGTTTAGTAAGTTTAGAAAATATTACCTTGCTGGAGAATGTTTTTGTGTTACATTTTGACTTGGCTCACACTTCTTCTGGCTCCAGAAGGATTACACCTGACAAAACGAGAAGCCAACATATAACTAGCCAATTATGTGCATTACTACTCTAATATTAAGAAATGTATGGAGGCCAACAAGTAAATACTTGTCTATTTTTACTACATGCCCCCAAAAAATTTTTGCGTCACAAATTATAAATGGGGTAGGCTATTTTCCCCTTTCATTGTGACCCACAAAGGGAATATACCCCATTTATAATTTTCTAAACTCAAGCATTTACTCTGTCCATTATTATTTGCCAAGCCAACTTTCTTTTGCTGATGCAGCAGTATTGCTTTTTTATTTATTATTTTTTTTTATAATGGGCTTAGGCTATAGTCTTCATAAGCAAGCATTAAAACCTCCAACTCAGTTTCACCGAAGTATCGTATGTAGCTCGCTTTTTTTCTCCATTGGTTTCCATGGTGACTCCTGAAATCGGCGATCCATTGAAAATGTCTTTATGTACTCGTCGTGCGCGCGCATTAACTCTGGGTTACCAATAGGAGGTTGATTAAACTAACTCAACATAGGTGTTTTGGAACTGACATACCCAGAGTAAGCAAGTTTGGGGTTAACCAACCAAGAGTTCAAGGTTTATCTGACGGTAAGTTAACCTTGCTTTCTGGAATACACCCCAGGTGTATGGCTGTGGCAATACTCACAATTTCCATCACCATGCTTTCTCATTAAGAACAGTGTACTATTCAGCTTTGTATGACCCAACCTCATCCTAGTCAGCACAATTTCTTCCTGTCTAGATCTGGTCGTGTGTGTGTCTTTTCCCACTTTCCCTTGTATCCTATATAGATGTCTTCCTGTGCCACTCTACAGGTCCAGAGGAGAATCAAGGATAATCAATTAAGGTAAAAGGGGTGGAGCCAACTTAACTCAAAGCTGTACAAATTGGCAAAGCCAAGTGCTGGTGTTTGTGTCAAAATTTGTTAGAATGGGGTTCCTGAAAGTTGTCTTAGTGGTGGTTGTGATCAGTGCATTTGATCTGCCTGATGTCTTGGGAAGTTTGAGGTACAGTCCTAGTCCAAGAAGCATGGGGCCAAAATCAGCTCCAACTTCCAGAAGTCCTGCCCTTTCTCCTCTAGGGCTCTGGAACCCTTTGCAAGTGGCTTCTCAGTTTCAGAGTCCTTTGGGTCCTGACTCCAAAAGCCTTGCACAGGAGCCTTTTGGCCTTCAGGAGAAGCAGCTGTTGCAGGGTCCAGTGAAGCCTTTGGATTGGAGGTATCCCATCGTTCCCGAAGTGCAGAGCGAGTTGGCGGTGGACTTCCAGTTGAGGCAACCCGTGACTCCCAGTAGTGTAGCGGTTCAATGTGGCGAGAACCGGGTTCTTGTCGAGGTCCAGCAGGACTTTTTCAGCAATGGTCAGTTGATCCAGCCAACTGGTCTGTCTTTAGGTGGATGTCCTGTTGTTGGTCAGGATCCTGGGTCAAGAGTGCTCATCTTGGAGTATGAATTACAGGACTGCAACAGCGTGCTGATGGTAAGAACAGATACATCTTAATGGGTTATTTTTTCGTGGCAGAGGACCTTTTCAAAGAAAGTCAATTCACTTGATTTTACAATGCCAGGCAAGCTAAGACCAATTTTTATCTATTTGAATGGGTAAGTCCTGAATTTTCAAGCTACTTGCCTTCAAATAACCCTTCAAACCAACATCTGATGTAAACTATCCCATCAATGGTATGAAAGGAGCTTAAGAAACAAGAACACTAAATCTTGGGCCTTAATAGTTTTAAAGCTAGTTTTTACCCTGGAACAGCAAAATGTTCAATCCTTAGTGCATGTCTCCAAAACATTGACTATCTCTGGCAACACCGGAGCTTCTGAGGGCAGCTGTGGTGATGAGAAGAATTTACTAATTGGTGATTTGCTCTTTAGGAATTCCACCATATTGCACCTTCTCTTGCTCTTGGTGTATGTAAAGTCTTTGGCATGACCCTCTTGGTAACCCCAATCTTTTTACAGATGAATGAGGATGAGCTTGTCTACACCTTCTCTCTTACCTACACCCCTGAGGCGCTTGCAGGTACTCCGATTACCCGAGCCGATGGGGCAATTGTTGGTGTTCAATGCCATTATCAAAGGTACAGGATCTCTGTGACTTTCTGCACTTTCTCGTGCAACTGGGATACCATTTAATGGGTACTTTCATGAACCGCAGGATCCAAAATGTAAGCAGTGATGCCTTGAGGCCAACATGGGTCCCTTATGCCTCAACAGAGGCTGGTGAAGA